AGTATGGTCTGCTCACACAGACAACACAGTCACTCCTTCTTTTTGAACGAAGCAGCCATGCGAAGCTCGCGCCGGAAAGGTTAGCCGTCGAACACTTTCTCGAGGACAACACGCTCTGGCCCCTTGACCTCTCTTATAAGATTTTAGGAGCATATTTTCAGTCCGGCACTTTGTCATAATTAGCGTGTCTTACCATGCGTTTCTGTTTCAGTGTTATGCGATCTAGTTCTTGGCCCCCGAAACCGTAGCCTTTTTTCAGTGCAGGTTGCGTATCAGTAACGTCTGACATATGAGGACTGCTCCACTCGATCAATCTCGGTCATGGAATCACATGTTTTTGGGTTTGGGGGCTCCAGGGATTCGAAAATAGGGTTTCAGCCAAGACTTGCATAATCTGACGGATTGTGAAAATTGGCCCAGCAACAGCAATGGATCGTACCGATTTCCAGAGATTCTTGTGGCAATGTCCATTCTGTGTTGACATAGCCTGCCTTTGTGGGGTCGTAGCGTCGTAGAGCTGAGCTGCACGGACATGAGAACGCAGAAACCTTGCAGAGCCTACGACAGCCAAAGCTTGAGGATGGGCGAGGGTGGCGCTGTGTACTTCTACCAGAATGAGCTGCCCTATGACGTCGATCAGGCAGGAATTTCGTGATGCTCCCTGAAGTTTCACACCTCTGGGAACGAAAGCCATGCGGAAGGCATCAGGTCGTTGGAGTAGAATTTCTGAAGCAGACCCTTCCTGTACTGCAAGACCTAGGAAGCGACAATTGTCAAATGTTAGCCCAGCAACTCCAAGAAGACGTGCCTCACAAATTACGTGGGCGACGAGAGGTCGGTTATCTGCGGGAGTGTTACTTGAAGTCTTGTGCTTGCCTAAGCACACCCTCTGGCGATGAAGGCCAACTTTGGCGACAAGGGCTTTGCCGGCTACAAGGCGGTTTCGGGTTGCTCCTGCACATCGCATGGCGTTGCAGGGGTGCGGCAGCCCCGCCAAAACCTGGCGTCCGGTGAATTAGAAGATATTAGAAGGAGGACTTGAAGTTTGGAGATGTTGCAGCCCTGATAGAGGTGGCTCCCCATGTACGGACGCATGAAGCGCAGGGCATGGGCCAGCACCTCAGTTTCCTTCCTTCGTCAGATTTGGAAATCAAGCGTTCTCATGGAGCGCAAAGAGTCTGCGATGTTGAGGATTCAGAGTCAGTCGCACCACCAATGAAGAGTTGAAACTCAACATGCGGCTTTGCAAAGTCTTGCTGATTAATCTGACCGGGCCCCGGCGGCCAGAAATGTCAAGGCGGCACTGCAGAGTTGATTAGGTCGAAATCGTTCGGTCTTGGAGCGCTCCAGGGTTGTTGAAGATGGTCAGCCCTTTGGTCTGAAGCATGATGCTGTCCGCACTCCAAGTCTTCAGAGGCGTTTACAGCTACTTCCGCGACTTCAAGTGCATCGTGAACAGTGGCTTCGTTGCTCCGAGCACCGATGGTGAAGCCAAGCAGCACTGGCTTTCACCCAAGTGCTTCGTACTTATGACTCTCATCCCTTACATATTGACAACCCATTGCATTCCTGTTGATCTCTGGCACCTCGCGTTATGTGGAGTCTGTTACAGCTTGTGCCAGCGTGGATGTCAGAATAATTAGGATGTCCTTAAGGGGGGGTGGTCCCAGGGGGGTAGGTAACCTAGTAATCCCCATTATTCCCCAATACTCCCTAAGCTTCCCTAAGGTTCCCCAAAGCTCCCTAGTACCGGCCCCCCTTGAACCACCCCCCCTTAAGGACCCTACAAGAATAGTAATGCTTGCACAAGAGCGAGTTGCAGACCCTTCTGCCTCGTGTCCTGTTGGTCTTTAAGGTGCGGTTTACCAACATCTTCACCCGCTTCCTGAATGGCAAAGCAGGCCCGACGAGAATTGCGGTGATCCTGTGCCTGCTTTCTTGCTAGAAACGGGAAATCGGTGCTCTGCGCCCAACTCGACCGAGATCCGTTGGAGACGACAACACTGAACTTCATCCAGCCTCGTGCACCGTCATTGATCGTCATTGCTGAGGCTTCAATGTTCCTCTTCACCGAACCTCAGGTAGACGTTTGCAACACTCCTCTGTGCGACCCCGCCGTTGCAAGTCCGTGGACATGTCTGCCAAGTTGCAAGCATGAGGGCATGTTTCGTTCAAGTCGTGATGGCTTTGTGCGCAGCCGAGACATTTGGAAATCACGATACTTCACAGGGCATGCATGGAGTTGAGTTCTGTGCTTGAGCCTGTTCATGCAGCTGCCTTCATAAAGAGTACTGAGCACTAGGGCTTACGAAATCACACCGCCCACCGGAAGACCCGACAACCTCTCCAGGCATCGAGCACGTTCTCAACGATCAGGGCGGATCAGTGATGGGCTTTTCCGACCCCCTGAGCGACTGGGACCGCTTTGGCCGAGGGAGGACTCTTAGGTTTCAGAAGCGCTTCCTCATACTTCCAAAGCTGTTAGGGCCGTTGGGGATCCAAAGCACGGCCGAAGCAGACAAGGTCGGCTCGTGACCTCCGTGCCTGGGCCTCCGCTTTGTCCTTCAATGCCTCCGACGCGCCCTTCAGGCAGACGAGCTTACAGGGGCCGCTTGAGACTGCAAGGGGCGCAGGATTCTGGGAGCCCTGGAGTGCTTCCGTCGTCGGGGTGCACTGAGGCCATGGGTATGTCGGGTTTGTGGTCCACATCTTTGTTGGGCCTCAGAGTCTCGAACTGCATCATCTCTGGGTCCAGCACAGAAGGCATCTTTTTCGTGATTTGTCTGAAACCTTGGTGCAATGTGCATACATCTGGTGGGTGAAGAGCTCATTTTTCTCGAGTTGTGCTGTCTGCACGAGGTGCATTGTCTTTCGAGCCTCAGTGTGGCTCATATCGGTATTGTCAGCGGTAAGTTTGAAAAGGTGTGCCGACTACGTGTGAGATTTCAACAGGGCCGGAACGTGCCCGGATGTCGTATCTTCAAGTGGCATAGCAGCTTGCTACCACCAGGAGCCCCCAAACCCTAAACCAACCCTAAAGCACCCGAATAGCCGGCCACTATCGTACGGGGGACAGAGCCTCCTGCCAATGCTTTTCTCCAAAAGTTCTTCGAAGAGACCGGTGGTGCGTCTCGCATGATGCCAGGCTCGCCCTTTTGGAGCTACTTCTTTGTGGCCATTGCCTCAGCCGCTGTCGGCTGGATGTCTTCAATGGCATTCTTCCGCTGGCGAAGAGGCACCGCGTGACGAGCTGTTCAAGTGCCTCCAAGTTGCAGGTCCTTTCAGGATGATAGACTCATGGCTTGACGACCATGCTTGTGTTTGGGCTTGGAAGGATTGCACTTTAGGTCTCAGACACCACCCGGCTAGCAATCAGAGAGGATTCGCAGACAGAGTTCCAGGGATGGATACAACGGTGCCGGCCAACTGTTCTCAGAAGGTAGGGCAGCGCCAGCACCACCCCGCAGTCCCGCAGCAATGCCGGACCGAAGATGTAACATCCGGGATCAAGAGAAAACAGTCTTTCCGCATTCATCCGAGCCGGAAAGGTCAGAGCCTTTGCCCACGCAGCTACGACTCGACGGAGTCTGCAGACGAGAGCGACTACGAGAAGTCTTCCTGAACGTCATCCATCAATGACACGTAGTCTGCTCGCAACTTCAACCAATGTCATGCCCATAGCAGCACTAGGATCACTAGTGATGCTGCCGATGGACAGAATCCTGCGCCTTAGCATCTACGAACAATGCGAGACACCATGGAAATCACGAACTCTCTAATAATAATAATAATCATAATAACAATAATAATAATAAAGATTTGCACAGGATTTTGTCCACGGTACCGGCGAGGCCGTGGCCCAAGGGCGGCGTCGGCTTCGACCCGGGGACCCAGCCTGGCAGAGACTGAGTTGCGCTCCTATGTGGTTTAGAAGTTTAGCCTCTCAGCGACCACTTTTCTGTGCTGCCTAGTCTCGGAATCTGCCAGCTGTCGACCCTTCATAGTTTCATGACGATTTCAATCATATCTGCTGTTTGTGTTCCTTGCTGGCAGCGGCCTTACGCAATCCTCCATGCTAACAGCAAGCCACGCAAGCGCAAGAAGAGTACGTGGGTGAATCCACAAGATGACAGGATGAAGATGAACAGCAGCAATTAGCGGTTAGCAATCGTTTGTGCATGGCCACGGAGATGCCGAACTTCGACAGTGTCCGCATCTGCCCTCCAGCTCCGATTCTGGAAGCAGCGCGCGCAGCGCCTGCAGAATCCTTCTTTTGTGCGGGGCTCCATGGATCGCCTTACCAACATTTTCCGGGTTCCTCATTATAAATATAGTAGAATATTATACACCCAAACCCTATTCTAACGATTAAGGCCCCTTTTGCATGGCCGCCAGTTTGGCAAAGCAGTTTCAGAGATTGCTCATGTCCCGGAGCCTCAGCGCTGGGCTTCTCAGCCCTGTAGTCTCGGACGGATGTGCTTCCAGGCTTTTATCACTTTAATCGTTTCGGACGGCAGAATCAAAAAGCATGACCTGCTTTCTCTGCGTTGGAGCATTGGTACAAACTAAAAGCAGAGGCACAAATAGTGATGGCTTCACGTGCCATTTGCCGGATTGGTTCTTCTGCCAGCAACCTTGTAGTTTTTTGCCAGACTATCTCAAGGTTGGGTGCTCGCGGGTCTGCCTTGACTCGTGTCAGTGCTGCGGGTTGAATGTTCGAGGTCGCCACATCTTGGGCTGTTCTCCAGCGATGACAACCAAACCCGGCTGTCAAGAGGCAACATGATGACGGTGATGCTGATGATAGCGATAGTGATCATGATGAACGTTTTGATAAGTTCGATGTTGATAGTGACGATGGTGGTGATGATGACAACGATCGCGGCAGTAGTGCCAGTGAGCGGTCGAGGGAGTGAGCGAGTCAGTGAGCGAGCGCTAAATGACAATACACGGACGGCATCAGGAACTGATCAAGCAACAGCGATGATCAAACTTCGCAGGACTTGTACCTCAGCCTTGTGGAGCATGGTGGCAACCTCATGTTGCCCATCTCGGTTCCCGACTTAGCCGAGGACATGAGGTGAACACACTGCAAGGCGCATAGATGACCGGGTGTGTGGCCTAAAGCCAGCGCACAAGACTGCTCGAAGAAAGTGTAACTACTGAAGAGTCCAGAAGCTTGATGTCTGAACTCCGTGAGCCCTCACCCACGAGCGAGGCCCAGGGGCGAATGGCCAGGAGCCACCTCCCTCAACAGTCGGAGCCTCAATTGAGATCGCGCCCTATTTCAGCTTGGTAAGCCAGGGGGTGTGCCGCTTCATGGTACCCGCCCTAGGTCCTGGGTCCTAGGCCCTAGGCTATAGCTATTTGGCATCGCAACACAGAAATTGAAACTGGTAGTCCTTCGAGCCACCAGCGATGCTGCAGTGGAGCAGGTGGGACAGCGTCGTGCGCTACGCTGAGAGCTCCATGCGTCCTGCAGGTCCCCGAAAATACTGCCGCAGAGTGTGCGAAACAAGCAAGACCAAGCAAGCATAGCAGCAACTGCCAGTAACCGTGACAGCCATGACGGCCAGGTTGAAGTGCACCTGCATCTAGGGAGGTCGAGCACGATGCTGGAGAGAGAACTTGTCTGATCCCTCCGGCCCCTGAATGGCCAAGCCGTGCACCCACATTAACACGATGGTTGAGACAAGGAAACGATGTACTCGGGTGGGACCACCGCAAGTTTCCTGACTTGTACAATACCCCAGATGTAGACCATGCGCCGCCACTCATATTTTGCAGTAATCTGCGGCTCAGTGCTTGTCTTCTGAACCATTGGTGTCTATCCTTGCAGGCTCTGTTGCGCGCTATTGATGCTCAGTGTCCAGCTCTCGGTCGTGAACGAGCTCGTCAGGGAGTCAGGCAGTGAATCTTACATCGGCGCTCTTCTTCGTTCGGAGAAAGGAAGCTTTTTCTGGATTTCGGGGAGGGTGCCGGAGCACGGGCTAGACCCAGGCATGGCTGCACGGGACAAGGCTGAATTGGTACCCCGGATACTCGCACTGCATACTCCTGGTCTTGACCTTGACCACGACCCCGTACCTCAAACTTGGGATTCGGCTGGGGTCTGTCTCAGAAAGGCGCCAATATGACAGTCCACGTTCATCACTTGAGCTTTGTGGTCAGGTTGGCGCAGGAGGCACAGCGCTTTTCCCGGCCGGGGCTTGCACAAAGTGCTGCAAGCTGGGTACCATCTGGCTTCATGCTCTCGTTATGAAAGCTCTGGCTGGCTCCTGTCATTGCATTAGAGTATCATCGTTTCACAATGGATGTTGAGGCCTTGCATCCTCTCGTTGCACAGCCATGCTGTATTGGCAGGAGCCGACTTGTACATGTGTGGAAAGAGGCTCCCAAGCCTTGTGCACGTCGTGCAGGACGTGCTGCAAAGCTCGGCCTGGAATGCAGCATCCTCGTCGGCTTCACACAAGATTGGCCCAGGATGATCCCATGATGCCCATCGTTTTGTCGACCTCAGGAAAAATGCAGCAAAATGAAGACCAATCGTGCTGAGTCTGCTGCGCAATGTAGAGAGAGAGAAAGAGAGAGAGAGAGAGAGAGAGAGAGAGAGAGAGAGAGAGACAGAGAGCACTCAGACACAGCAAGAGGCTTGAGGCAAGGATGCGTTTAGCTCGACGCATTGTTGCAGACGCTTGACACGGTAGCTCCCAAGCAGGCCATTAAGCTGCTCAAACGGGGAGCCTCATCCATATGTGCACGCAAACCTTGGCAACCATCGTGTGGTTGGGGATGCCGGATACAGCCCTCAGTCGACAAGATGAGCTTTGCAGCAGCACTATCGAACCGGCCTTGATACCGAACCAACACGATCAGCGGAATATCCCAGCTAACATCCAAGAAACTGTGATTGCTGGTTCCCCCAGGCCTTGCCCACTGTTGCCCCCGAGCCATAATACCCGAGAGATCAGTGCATTGATCAAAAAGGGACGGACTTAAGATTTGCAGGTAGCTTAGCTTAGAGGGGATTTCAAAGGGGAGTCCAGAGGGCACAGGATCCACGGTCTCTGCTCTCGCTGGGGCGCCGACACTGCAGAGCCATGGCTCGGCTGGCGCTGTGCTTTGGCAAAAATTATGTTCCTGGACCTTGCGGGGACTTTCAATTGAAGGCGGACTAACATGAATCTATGGCTATGGCTACTGATGATATGTGTCTGAATACCTGAAGTTTGTGAGGCACTGCCTGCGGGGCAGGGAATCGTGCGCGCAGAGTGCGTAGAGTTCTTTGATCCAGGCCTGAAGCTTTAGCCTTACATCGTCAGCGAGCTCGAGTCAATTTCTTATGCTCGGGAGTGGTGCTATGAGGGTCAGGCCAAGTTGAAGTTGGGGAGATCTAGTAACTAGTAGGAAGCTCCGAGGAATCTGACTGCTGGCATCACCGAGTTTTCGAGTGCAGAGCTCAGAGCCTGGCGGCTAACAGTTGTGCAGCTTAGGTCTGACAAATATATGTAATTAGGCAGGATGAATGTAAAGATAAGAACGACAACGCTCGTCCCTGTCATACAGACGAGCCGGCTCAGATGTAAAGCAGGAAGTAGATATTGTCATGGATATTGATTGCCCTGATTCCGGTAGTTGCGGCCAGCCTGAGACTGAGACTGGTTGTTACAACGGTAATGATGCTGGCGTGGACGACGTGCAGATGGGCTTTAGCGTAGTTCTTTACCGTCGCAGGCACAGCTTTAATCACACATGGTCTTACCTTTGCTTGTGTTTTCTGAGCATCTCAAACCCTGGAGTCAACATACTTGAAAATTACCTGAATGAAACAGCGACATCCTGCAAGATCAGCATCATCGCCACATATCTTTACCGGATGAATATAAAGCTGTGTACGTACAATCCAGTATTTCTTTCGACATGGTTCATCACGCAATCAACTAATCTACATAGCTTGCTACTGGCCGTTCAGGTATACGGTCTCTATGCATGCACATATAGATAGACATAGTATCCTACCCGCCCATGTATGTATCTATCCTTCCTGACGTGTAGATGGGTATGCGTAGCTGCATATGAACAGGAAAGGCCGTACAGCGGTACTGCCGCATTGCGGTATGCATGTTCTAGCAAAAGGGCATTTGCTGGTCTTTTGCAGGTTTGGCCTTGGGTCATACCGAAGTGACATGCGCACAAGGCATTGCTGGTGGCCATTGTTGCATGCTCTTCTCCTTCCGAGTGGCGGCACATTCCCTTGTGGACACGGCTGACGCACCATGATAGCGTTTAGGACTTAACGATGCCGAAGCAAACAGCTCGGTAGCTCTGCCGTGGTGGCTATGACTATGAGCCAGCTTCTCGTTCAGGCCGGATGTCGCTGAAGAGCATGTTCTCACAGTTCGGTGAGGCCTGTGCCTCGAATCGTTGGGTCCAGACAGATAGGCACGAGACCTGCTGGTGGCTTCCTGAAGAATGGTTGAACGCAGTACTGCCATCTCCAGCAGGTAGACTCCTCCTGACCGGGGTTTTGGCATCACGTGCATTTGGACAGCAATCGGTCCATGCCGACGGCAAAGTGATGCATTTGACACGTCTCACACCTTCACATTTGTGCATGCTGGCGAGGTGACCTCCTGCTGGGTGCCGCCAGTCGAAGCGCGCAGGAAGGAAACAGCTTGGGTGAAGCCTGGGCCTTGTGCTGAAGAACCTGCCGAGCTTCGGCTAATCTCGTCCAGGATCAAGGAGAGTACCCTGATTATCCTCGTGCTGCAGCGGGTTGGAAGCAAAACCTCAGTTCCGAATTTCGTGACCATGAACACACTGTACATATGACCAGGGCTCAAGACAGCCCCGACCGTCAGTGTGCTTCGGCTTCGTGACTTAGTGGCATCTTGGAGACTGTCTAAGGTTCCAAACCAGCGCGCAAGCGGAGGCACGTGTGAAGGTTGATGCCAGCGCAGGTTTGTCATGGATTCATGGATGGGCAGCGGCATGTCGGTGACCTCAGTAGATCCAAGATTTCTTCTTATGAGGCTCCAGAATCCGGTGCAGCATGGCTTCACTCTAATCTCTGTCCGTTGCCGTCTTTTCATGCAGCTTGCACGAAACCACGATTCACAGGCAGACTGGCCATATCTGGCGCAAGTTGCTGGAAGTTAAACCTCAGAGTCCAGTCAGAACCTCCACTCACCCAGTTCGCATGTCTGGTGCAGAACGTTGTGCACGATCCTTCCACCGGTACAAGCTAGATACTGCACGACCGGCTGGGCAGACCCAGCTACTCAACACCTCTCCCCTTGAATAATTCGCATTCCATTTGCCTCATGGCAGCTGTGGCGTCAATGCCGGTGGCGAGCCAGGCCGGGCCCAAGGTGTCTACATGCAGCATGTTCTCGTCATGGAAGCGGAAACAAGATTGAGCAGCGACAAAGACAGGAGCTGAAATCTTTGCCTGTGAAAGACACCATTTTCCATGTCCAGCAATTGGTGGAGGATCGAACACAGCAAGCAGCCTCATGTCAATCAAGCATGCAGGTGTTGAGGCCGCCACTGACAATACTGACAATAACGCGTCATCTAGGATTTCGCAGGATGCCCCGCAGGTTTGTGCGCACTGGTACACGGTGGACTTCCGCCTGAGTGACCAAGACCTGAAGCTGCCTCCGGGTGAGCACCTCGTTTCTGCTTCAGAGAAGACTTCGGCGTTATTTGGAGTTGAGGTCTGCGGCTACGCGTTGCCCGCTGTTTCCAGTCGGGGTGAGTGGAGTGCGCGGTAACGGGGGCTCACAGCAGCCCTTGATCCTGGATTCCCTGGATCCTTGAGCCCGATTGCCCTCAGAGCCCGGTGCGACAGCCTGAGGTACATCTACTCGCAGATTCAGGGCCCAGAGCACTCCTTCCGGTTTCGCTTGTCCGTCTACCCCAGAGGCAGGTCGATCAGGGTATGCTTGATAGCAGGCAGTGGTGGTGGTAGTAGTAAAGCAGCAGCAGCAGCAGCAGCAGAAATGGGGCCGTCGCTGTTGCAATTATGCCGATGAGAATCATCTTGGTCGTTTCTGGATTCGAGGCTTTTGCCGTGTATTGAGGGCTTTGGTCTCAAGCCGTGTCAGAGGAAGATTCTTGGGTTTACAATATTGCCTTGCAGGTCTCTTGGACATGCGTCAGCGCAGGTTTCCCGGAGAGCCTTCCCAAAATGTCTTCACGAAACGCTGACGAGATACGATGGATCCTCAAATCCATGGATTCGCGGATTGGGCTACTTTTCCGCGCTTTTTGTTTTGGGAATGTCCGAGAAGTTGAGCCCTTCTCGAGCTTGATGCAAGCCTCTCTTTCCCAAAGGGCGGTCGGAGCATTTTCAATATTCGTCTGGTTCTTGTGTTGAAAACCGCCACTATGTAATGTTGATGATGATGCCCAATGACTGATCAGCACGACTGTGTGCACAATCAAGATAATCATGAATCATGCTCATGATTACGGCGATGGTCTTCCCGTCAGCAGCATCATCACCCTCATCCCAAGAGCCAAGAGCCATCATCGTCAGAGGAAGAGGTCCATGAAGTTGCTTCGTAAACTCCGGGTGAAGCCGTCCGGCGCAGGGCATGGCGACTGGGAGGCGATCAGCATCAGTGCCTACATCGAGATCCTCCCACCTCCAGCCCTGGCAAAGATCGACTGGGCTTGCAAGGCACGCTTCGAGATCTCGATGTGCCTGGGCCGGATGTGAGGAGCGAAGCGTTGGAGATTTTCCTACCTAGCCAAGCAGACGGTTGCTTGTCTCCGATGTGGTGCAGAGCAGGCAAACGGTCTATGCAAATACTTAGTTGTGAATATGGAAGCAGATGAGTAGAATAGACACGTAAAATAGCCGTAGGTAAACGCATCAACCATCAAACAAACACATAAATCAATGTGCACATGTGTGGGTATGTCACATGGCGAAGTTTCACACACCAATGTGTGTAACGCAGAGGTTAACCATGTGCAATCAGTACCGGTGCGACGCGCACAAACGGCAAATGCAGCCAAAATCCAACAAGCAAGCAAGCAAGCATATATATATATATAGATATGTGTAACTATATATATATATATATATACACATAATCGCGCCTTGCTCGAGAATGGAGTCGCTTCGGTTTGTGCCTCACAGTATGGAATCACAGGGCACTGCTCAGAAGGTCAGGTTTCAACATGGCTATACTTCTTTTTGGCATTTGACATTCCGAGCCGGGACTGACATCGGCGGCAGTTCTGCAAAGTCGAAGGCTATACGAGTACCTCGATGAGCTGTGGAACTTCCGCCGCGAGGGCGGGGTCTTCATCTTCACCAACAAAGTCTCGGACCAGGGATGGTGCGCTCCGGATGTGCAGAGGTAGGCTTGCAGTGACGCTTCAAGGTCACTTCTTTCCGGAATCTGGATTGTAACCTCTGCGTAGGCATCCGACAAGCACAGATCCGATTTTGCAATCGAAGGCAGTGCAAAGCCAAGGTAACTTCCTGAGCCTGGACCGGATTACGCGCGAGCCCGGCTGGCTAAAGGCCGGGGATCTGAGTGAAAGCTGCTAAGAAAGGCTGACAAAGCCGCCGACGGCTCCGCCGACCCCAGTGTCAACGGCCCGCAGAGCTCAGCGAGTCAGCGGTCACTCTGTTTTGAACTTTGCATCAGAAGTCCGAAATAGTGATCACGTCAATTACCTCCTTAGTCATCACTACCCCATGGCTCCAGAAAATGCTTGATGCATAAGCGCACCAGCCCTTCTGAAGATTTCTGAAGTGTTAGCAAAGGCCTCGTGCATCTCCCTGGCAGGCTGGCGGGCTGCGTCTGCAGGGACCCTTGGCTCCAGTTTATAGAACTATGTGTCGATCTACCTACCTATGAAAAACTCTACGCATAATATATTACATACATCTATAACGCGAATATGTATATGTATATATATATATATATATGTGTATGTAGCTATGGCTATATCTGCAACTATACTATATACATACACACGCGTAGATGTATATATATATATATATATATGTATACATGTGTTTATGCATACATGTATACATGTATACATGTATACATGTATGTATATATGTAACTATGTATACATGTATATATGTATATATGTATATATGTATATATGTATATATGTATATATGTGTATATGTATATATATATATATATATATATGTATATGTATATATGTATATATGTATATATGTAAATATGTATATACGTATATATGTATATATGTATGTATGTATGTATGTATGTATGTATGTATGTATGTATGTATGTATATATGTAGATATGTATGTATGTATGTATGTATGTATGTATATATGTATATATGTATATATGTATATATGTATATATGTATAGTCGACTGAGCAAGGTTCTCTGCTAACAAGTTATTGCGGACCACTGCAAAGATTTCGAATCTGAATGTGTGCTGTCCTACGCTTCTCTGACCAGAACACGTCTCCTCTGTTTCTTCGGCCAGAAATCTCATACTCTAGAGCCCTTAATAATTACCTATACTATTGTGGGGGTTCCTTCTTGTAATTATAATGTAGAATGCGCCCCCCAAGTCCTATTCTAATTATAAAGGCCCCTAGATCATGTAGTTCTCGAAGGCCATATAGGCTTGCCGGCTGGCCCCACATCACGTAGCTCTCCAGGACCCGCCTTTTGGCTTCAGGGTCGGCTTTGTGTGAGGTTCCGTAAAGTTTCCGATGTCGGGGTTGCAAGCTTCAGTTATTGCGTAGCATTTCTAGCCCAGGGTAAGGCTTACTTGTCTTTCCAGCTGAGGACATGTAGAGCTGCCATTCACCGATGCTCCGTGCCGGGGACAGCCGCTGGACTTCACGCGACTTGGCGAGGAACGTGCAGCCAGCTGAAGGATTTCGGTCTTTCTTCAATTTAAGATGTTCAACCGCATCTTCGTGAGTCCCGCAGGTTCTAGATTACGCAGACTCGAGCGGCACCATAAGTCTACGATGGCCCATATTGAACCATAATGTGTCGTGAGCGTCACAAGAACCACCACTACCACCTCCACTGATCATCATCGTCCTCATCACCATCATCTTCATCATCAGTATCATCATCTTAATCCTAATCATGGTCATTGTCCTCATCCTCATCTGCATCCGTATCACCATCACCAACACCATCACCAACACCACCACCAGCACCACCATCACGATGACACCGCCATCTTCCTCGTCATCACCGCCACCAGATCCTTGAATGGGCACATCGTCAGCACCTGCATCTTGCCAATCCTCCCAGCTTCTCGTTCAGCATCACTAGGCAGGAGGCAGCCTTCGTGACGTGGCCCGGCTGCATTGGATCATGCTTAACCCCTCAGCTACGCTTAAAGCTGTCTTGATCTCCTGGAATCCAAGGATACGACTCTCCGAAGGGCCTCCACTGCTCTTTGACAAGCGAGCCTCTCCTGAAGGGGTAGACACAGCCTCGAAACGTTTCACTGAGGTTCAGGCAGCAGTAAACAAGGGCACCATTTTGAACAGGGGGCTTCGTCTGAGCATCGAGCCTCGAGTTTTAAGCGGCAGCCGCATGATTTTGCTATGTCCAAAAAGGGCATTACATGGTACTGGTAAGCAGTACTAGATTCTAGATTCTCGACGGTTTAGGGCTTTAGAGGATCCTGTTCCGTCTAGCTGATAGTAACTCTACGGGCTCCGACAGCAGCAGCAGCAGCAGTGCTGCTAATCGCTGGTCCGCCGAGACCGAAGACGTGCCCCAAACCCTAGCGCCTAGGCGCCTCGACGGCCTAGGCTTGGGTATCCCCAAGACTCCGAACCGATAAAACCCTGAAGCCTAAACTTTAAACCCTGTTCGGGCCTATGGTGTCCTAGCTCCGCCACCTCCTGAGGTATACTCAGCGAGCGCTCGGAGTACTTCCGTGAGATGCTGGCATCCAAGTGGCGGGAAGGTCAGACCAACGAAGTCGACCTGAGCATGAGCCTCGACTTGAGAGATCTTCGGGTTCTTTGGGGGGCTGAGGAAGTTTAGTTTTTTTTGTTTTTTCGGGGCGGGTCGGGGGTTGGAGTTTCGGGTGACCCCTTCTTTGCTGCGTCCTGGCCGTTTAAGTCAGAATTGCGAGTGACTGCCCCGTTTCAGGCACCTGCACCAAGAGTTTCCTGAAGCAAGAGTCCGGAACCAGACTTACTACAAATTCCGACATGATGCTAAAGGGCTGACTGGAAGGGGGCAGCTCAAGGACCCCCGACATCCAGCGCAACTCCCTTGATGCGGTGCTCTGCTATCTCATGTCCAGCCGCTTCTTCTCCGGTACCTGGACGCAGTTGTTGATTTGGCGAGGGATTGGCTTTCAGGAGGTCTTATTCTGGGTGCAAGTTGCTTTGAGGCGGAGACGCAACGTTCGCCTTCGCTGTGCGGAAGCTGGCAGACCAGTTCTGCCTGAAGGACCCTGACCTTTTCTGAATCTCTTCGGGTCATTGCAGAGAGGGCTCACAAACACCGGCAGAAATTTTAAAATTTGCCCACAAACGTGAGTCGCTGTTTTGGAGGCGCATACGTACAGTACACTGGCCGGATCGGATGCAGCTAGCAGCTAGCGGTTTCAGGTGCAGATCTCGCTTGCAAATGTGCAATCCGAACACTCAACTCAGGACCTTGTGGACACGGTAGAAGCCGAGTTAGTGACGATGCTGTCGCAACTCGACGACTTCTGGATACTAGTATGCGATGCGGAAATAAGCTTTGTTCCAGAGTGTGCCACCGGGACCTCCAAAAACTGCGGATGATCGCTTAGCGGCCTAGCTGCCTGAAGACTCACTTATCTAAGTCTTGTCGCCTTTTGGGCTTCAGGCTGGGCTCTCTGCCCCCATGCTTAGACACACGCCCCACCTCTAGCTGCATCATCGAGGAAGCAGCGCGTCCTCGCCTTTTTGGGTCAGGCGGGGTGGACACGGAGAGCAGGGCTTCAGGCTGCGTGAAGGATTCGGGACGGTAGGCTTCACTGCAGCTGGGCATACTACCCAAGTGAAGGCCCACGCCGACCCGACCCGGATGGCAGCCATCACTTATGCCCTGACACAAATCATGTTCAAGGCCTGAAGCCACTTAGTTCTATATAAGTCCTCGGTCTCCGCCTGCACGAGCAAGATCCCCGGCTGTTCTGACTCTTCAGAAGCTCGGGAACGATCGGAACACAGCTGAGGAGATCTTCACCCCAAAGGCTGTTCGCCTAGAGAGCCCCCTGGTAGTCAAACCCTATATTTCCTCACAGAATCCTTGCGGATCCCTTAAAGGATCAGAATCCTTGCGGATCCCTTAAAGGATCAGAATCCTTGCGGATCCCTTAAAGCATCACTCAAAGGAGCCCTTCAAGGGTGATTTTAAGGAGGCTCGAAGTGAGGGACGCCTTCGTCACCAACGGCAGGTCTTCGGAAGCGGCGGCCGACTAGAGTTGGCCTGCTGGGAGATGGTGAAGGCCTTCCCGGAGACGTAGAATAATTATATGATAATGTATATACATACATATATAATGCACATACATGCATACGTACATACATACATACATACATACATACATACATACATACATACGTACATGCATAATCATGCATACATACATACATACTTATGTACAGAGTAATTATGAGATGGACGCATATATTCATTTGTAAACATACCATGCACATAATGTGTCATTTTTTGTCTTGAGTGTGATTGCATTTCCCGACCGGGCGTCGACAATGTTGAAACAGTGCCGAGTATGCGTGGTGCAAGTGTGGCAATGCCTTGCTCTGATGTCAGCCTCATCATTGCATTCGATCGTGGTCTACGATGGGGATCTAGTATGCCTGCTCCTTCAAGCTGAAATGCATCTGTGTGCTGCTGTACTATTGATACTTGATCCTGGTCCCAAGCTCCTTCCTATTCCTTACAGGCCAACGACTGTGCTGTCCTCCGCCGGCAACGCGACAAGCTCGGCCAGGTAGGCGAGCTGAGAGTTTACTTCGTCGGAATCAGAATCGGCTTCTGCTTTCGCACAGCTGTGCGACAAGCCAGCGTAAACGCACACAGTCCCTGTCTCGGCACGTGCCGCATGCTGGGGTTCATCCTCTGAGCCGATGGTGATTAATTTCAGGTGGTCGACGAGAACCCAGAGCTCGCCAAGGAGGTGATGAAGTTGCTGGCCTTTGTTGGACAAGTCTTGCGTGCAGTTTACACCACCTGGTGTCTGCTTCAAGGGTAGATGATGAGTGCAGCAGACAGCAGATATGGTTGATAGCAGATAGCAGGGGTCCAGTCAAGTTTGATGGACGTGTCACTCTCCGAACAGCATTGCTTGTAGGGTGTCCCGCAAGGTTTTTCAGATTTGCATTCCTGCAGCCACCGTCCGAGGACTGTGTATTGCTTTAATTTGGCCGAGGATCCAACCCACATAGTTAGAAGGGCCCAAGTCCGACGTGGTCGGCAGCGGGACCCAAACCACGTAGCGGAGTTGCATTCCACTGGCGGCAGTCGCACGCAGATCGATCCCCACTCAAACAGTAGCTACGCAAGACGCTGGTGACCAAGGCTTCTGGCTGCACGCGGCAAGAAGCGAAGATGGGAAAGCTCTGGCAGCTCCGACTCAGATAGTAGCTGAGGCAAAGATGGAGCACACAGGAGCACGAGGCTTTTTCTGACACTGGATCAAGGAGTCAATATAGACACTGTGCAGAGTATGCTTCGTTGCAGACAAAAGCCTTGTGCCGGCCGAGCTGCAGCCCGATGCCGAGAGTTGAAAAGAGCCGTTCTTGCTTTGCGGCTCCCGATGCTTGCTGAGATTTTGGGTCCGAATGTTCTGTGGGATTGCTAGCAGACTGGGCGAGATCTAGCACGAAGCAGCCGAAGTCGAAGCCGGAAGATTACGACGATTGCCGCATCTACGACCTTGCTATGAGTGCCCATCATGTTCAGTACTAATGGTAGTCGGCCATGCACGTTCGATTTCGCGAACTCCACTACTGTCAACCCTCAAAATGAAACTGAGGCCAAAGAAGCAACGATCTCAAGTCAGAGCTGCTGCGAACTGTAGCAAGATGACGGTTTGAATGTGCGGTGATATTTCAGTGCTTTCGTGTGTGCTTCTTTTTAGGGGAGGGTCCCAGCAGCGACCTGAAGGAGAGGCTTAGCCGTGGCCGACCTGATTCTGACCCTTTCTCCGGACTCTGTAGCTAACTGGGCCTCAGTTACTTTCTGAACATGACAAGTAGAAGCTAACAGGAGCCTGGGCCACAGCTACGTGGATTCCATAGCTAGACCCCTCCTTCTCGGGTGCCAGGCCGCCCTCACGGCTGTGAATGCGGGCCAGATCTACTTGGATGGCGTGAAGGCGCGAGCCCGTAGTGTGAAGCCGGGTTTCAGAATCTCTGCCGACACGAGACATCCACGGCGCATGTGACAGCTTCGTTGTGTGTTGAACACCTGGCATCTGCGGATATCGTAGACTGCTTGCATAAACTTAAACATTAAGCCTTGGCTGTGGCTCTGAAAGAAACAGTGTGCAGAGACCAGCGACACGTGCTTGTTGGATTTTGGGCAATTGTTGATGTGGTTTTGTCATGTGTCGTTCTGGCAGTTGCCCCCCGGCCGATCGCGGCTTTACTTTCGTAGAATCTCAGTACCTCTCTTGCTCGCTCTTTGGCTATTTTTCTCCTTCTCTCTCTTTATCTCTCTCCGTCTCTCTCTCCGTCTCTCGCTTGAGATGTCTCTCCGTCTCTCTCTCCGTCTCTCTGGCTCTATCTGTCTCTCTCTCTCTCTCTCTCGCTCCATCTCTCTCTCTCTCTCTCTCCATCTCTCCGCCTCTCTCTCTCTCTCCGTCTATCTCTCGTGCCTCTCTCCGTCTCTCTCTCCGTCTCTCTCTTCGTGTCTCTCTCCGTCTCTCTCTTCGTGTCTCTCTCCGTCTCTCTCTTCGTGTCTCTCTCCGTCTCTCTCTTCGTTTCTCTCGCCGTCTCTCTCTTCGTTTCTCTCTCCGTCTCTCTCTTCGTTTCTCTCTCCGTCTCTCTCTTCGTTTCTCTCTCCGTCTCCCTCCCCGTTTCTCTCTCCATCTCTCTCTCTCTCGCTCCCTCAATCTCTTTTTCCGTCTCTATCTGTCCATCTCCATCTCTCTCTCCGTCTCCACTCCATCTCTCTCTGCGTCTCTCTCTCCATCTCTCTCTGCGTGTCCTTCTCTCCTTGTCTATCTCCGTCTCTCTCTCAATGTGCACACACACACATGCACAGGATTCTGCAATTGCCCATGTGCTGTTTGATATGTATATACAGATATGATAGACATAGTGTACATGTACATACGACATACCCACGCGCACATGCACAGATCAGTTCAAGTGCACACACATCAACATACACGATACATGCGCTTACGTGAATGCATGCCCATGAGTGTATATGTATATTCCCTGCAGGTATGTATATGTACACGTCTTTTCTGTGTGCCTTTGCAGCCCCGCACTCCTGACTGCTGTACCGATGTGCACGGTGGGCTTGTGTTTTGTGATCAGGGAGGTATGAGACGACCGCATTGGCATGTTTTGATATGACGAAACTACCCCCGTCTGCATTCAGGTGTCTGCGGAGTGGCGGAATGCACCCGCCAAAACCCAGGACATGACAAAGCTACGGCTTGTCGGAGTTGAAGTTCCAATTCCGATACACTCGGTGACCGGCCTGCCTTCGCAAGACAAGAGGGGCCTGAGCAGTCGCTGCTGGAAGCCTCGTTTAGCCTGGCTGTTCTTGTTTGCCACGGCGAGGTCCAACTGAAGTACGTTTATACAAGATCCTTTCGAAGTTCTGCGGCGGCGGCTTACAATGCTTTCATCACGATTCCACTGGGCTCGTGGTCGTACGTGTTTTCCTTGCAGGACAGCCGCGATTTCGACGCCAAAGGTAGCAACCTGTTTTCCTCCAGAGATCTAATGCCGGGCGCCGAGCCGAAGTGCTGTCGGGGGCTTGAGGGTTCTGTGTCAAATGTTCCTGATGCTCGGCGATGTTTGCTTGAGGATGTTGGACGACAGAGTTTTGTCGATCACATCGCATGCCGCAGCAGGGGCCACACAAAACACCAGGTATGACATGGTATGACATGAGAGTACAGACACCACAGCTGATTCCTCTTGGTTTATCGATCAGTCTGCAGCGCTGTGCCTCCTTTACTTCGTTCGCCACCGATGCTGTGCATGGCTAAGGGGCGATCGCTTACGGAAGGTGCGGTGGGGAAGATGGGAGTTGAGGCTGTGATCTATGTTGGATGCATGCTTTGGGCCCGATGCGGCGAGCAGGAGTATGTTTGGGACTCGCCTTCTGCAGAGGCTGTGGAGATCTTTCAGAGTAGTCTCCGCCCGGAAATCTCCGTGCGAGCCTCCTCAAACGACTTAGCCCTTCGTTAAGTAAGATCACACTCTTTCCCGCCAGTCACAGAGCCCTTCCTTCAAAACATGTGCCCGGGTCAGTGCTTATCAGCGTCAGCACCTCCGGTACCAGGTAGCTGCATCCCAGGGATTACACAGCCCTGCGGAGCCTGATGCCTGCACTCTAAAAACCGATGAGCCAAAATTCCACCTGGCACTGGCATTGTCTTCATGACTTCAATCCAGAAGCCCCAAAGTCACAGACTCGGAAAGCCGAAAAGGACCGCGAGCGAGACGATCGAGGCCGCCATGGCCACGGCGGCCGGGCCGAAGGTCGAATGGCGCAAGTTGAGAAAGCCATGAGTTTGACAAATCTGTTTATGGATTGTGTTAATTACTAT